TATATATATATATATATATATATATGTTACCACAACTATAGGTGTACTTCTGAAATAAAGGTGTCAGAATCCTGGGTTGGTGACATAGTGTGTTGAGTTTTGTTCTATTTTTGATCTTTGATTTCATCATTGTTATCTCTATTAGTCTTTTGGTTTCTGTAACAGTATTTCTAGTAATTTAGTGCTGTGTTCTGTGATTTCTAGTTCTTCGATTTTGTTCCTGTGTCCTTTTTGTTCAATGTCAAGTCTGTGTCTGTCATGCACTACCTGTTTTATTTTGATAGTCCTTGTCCTTGTGCAGTGTGTTTAATTTTGCTTCTTCTTGTCTCCGGGACATGCTACAAGCTTGAGAGCAAGCAGACTTTGTCCGCTCATGGCCTTCCATGCCTGCAGTTCATCTGTCTGCTGTTCAGTCTCCTGCAGTTCAGTCGTCTGCTGTTCAGTCTTCAGCTCAATCTTCTGTTAAATATGCAGCTCAGTTACCTGCTCTGTCACCTGCTGTTCAGCCGTCAGTTCAGTTACCTGCTGTTCAGCCGTCTGCTCTTCAGTCGTGTGCTGTTCAGCCACCTGCTCAGTTGTCTGCAATTCAGTCATTGGCTCAACCGTCAACCCAGCCACCTCCATCCTCTGCTGGAAGCTCTGTAGAGCTTGTTCAACCAGCTAAGGACTTCATCTTGCTGGCCCTGCCAAGACAGACTGCCTGCACTGCACAGACCCAGCCGTTGCATTCCGAGCCAGCTTTGTTCCCTGTGCAGTTACAGTTAACTTCATTCCTGCCAAAAAACTCCACGCCTGCTGGTTCTCTTTAGTCTCTGCCAGAGGTTTCTGGGCCTCGTTATTCTGTCTCATCACCGCCAGAGGTCTCTAGACCTGCTGGCCCTGCGTCTGTCCCTTCTAGAGGGTCCGAGGGGCCCATTCAGCTGTCTTCTGTCTCCGCTGGAGGGTCCGAGGGGCCTGTTTCAGCTGTCTGTCTCCGCTGGAGGGTCCGAGGGGTCGCTTCAGCCATCCCCTGTTCCTGCTGGACGTCCCAAGGGGTCCCTTCAGCCATCTGTCTCCGCCTGTCTCCAAAGAAAGTTGGCTCCAAGGAGCCGGTCCAACCATCAGTGCCACGAGCAGTGCCACCAGATCCATCATCTGCAGCAGCCATGTCACTGGCCATTCAGCCACCAGGGGTTGCCACACCATTGTTTGGTCCTTCCCTCATCTGGTCCTGCCTTGTCTGGTCCTGCAGCTGCCACACCACGTCCATGTCCAGCATGTCCACATCCGTGTCCAGTTCCAGCATCGTCTGCTTGTCCATGTCCTTGTCCACGTCCAGTTCCAGCACAGCCTGCTCCTCCGCATCAGTGTCCAGTTCTAGCACGGCCTGCTTGTCTACATCCAGCTCGGCGGCCACTTTCCAGGCGCCTCAGAGTGAGACCAGTAACCCTGGGGAAGCAATGGAGATTCAGTGCAGAAGCTGTTTGAGTAATAATCATGTGGAATGTGAAGTGTTTGGACAATAATAATGTGGAGTTTGGTGAATTAATTAAGACCAGAACACAGTGACTGTAGTTAGATGTAAATGTCTTTGTCAAAAAATACTCCAAGGTTCCTGACAGTGTTACTAGAGGCCAAGGTAATGCCATCCAGAGTAAGAATCTGGTTAGATACCATATATCTAGGATTTTCAAGGCCGAGTACAATAACCTCAGTTTTATCTGAATTAAGAAGCAGAACATTAGCGGTCATCCAGGTCTTTATGACTTTAAGATATTCCTGCAGTTCAACTAATTGGTGTGTGTTATCTGGCTTCATGGACAGATAGAGCTGGGTGTCATCTGCATAGCAGTGTAAATGTATGCTATGTCTTCTGATGATACTGCCCAAGGGAAGCATGGATAATGTAAACAGAATTGGTCCTAGCACTGAACCCTGTGGAACACTATAATTGACCTTAGTGTGTCAAATCAATTAAATTCAATTTTATTTATATAGCGCCAAATCACAACAAAAGTCGCCTCAAGGCAAAGAGGACTCCCCATTTACATGCACAAACTGGAGTACGTTAGATAGATATGATACAAACCACTGCAGCACAGTACCTGTAATACCTCCAACATGTTCTAAACGCTCTAATAGGATATTATGGTCAACAGTATTGAACGCTGCACTAAGGTGTAGCAGGACAAGCAGAGAGATGAGTCCACTGTCAGAGGCCATAAGAAGATAATCTGTAACCTTTACTAAAGGGATCGTAGGGCGATTGTGACTCAAGAGTTGGGAGGTCGCCTTGTAATCGGAAGGTTTCCGGTTCGAGCCCCAGCTTGGACCGTCTCGATTCTTGTGTCCTTGTGCAAGACACTTCACCCGTTGCCTACTGGTGGTGGTCAGAGGGCCCGGTGGCGCCAGTGTCTGGCAGCCTCGCCTCTGTCAGTGCGCCCCAGGGTAGCTGTGGCTACAATGTAGCTGCCATCACCAGTGTGTGAATGTGTGTGTGAATGGGTGGATGTGTAAAGCGCTTTGGAGTCCTTAGGGACTAGTAGAGCGCTATATAAATACAGGCCATTTACCATTTTAAAGCTGTTTCTGTGCTGTGATGACCTCTGAAACCTGACTGAAACTCTTCAAATAAGTCATTCCTCTGCAGATGATCTGTTAGCTGTTTGACAACTACTCTTTCAAGGATTTTTGTTATGAGAGGAAGGTTGGAGATTGGCTAATATTAGCTAAGGCCACTGGGTCAACAGATGGCTTTTTAAGCAATGGTTTAACTACTGTTAGCTTGAAGGTCTGTGGTATATAGCCAATTATTAGAGATAGGTTGATCATATTTAAGATTGAAACATTAATTAAAGGCGGGACTTCTTTGAGCAGTCTTGTAGGAATGGGGTCTAAAAGACACGTTGATGGTTTGGAGGAAGTAATTACTGAAGTTAACTCAGAAAGATCAATTGGAGAAAAAGAGTAAGTGAATATCAATGGTAATTAAAGTGACCATGATCATGAGTAATTTGTTTCTCTAATGGTTAAAATTTTATTTGTGAAGAAGTTCATGAAGTCAGTACTAGTTAACGTTAAAGGGATGGTTGGCTCAATAGAGATAGAGGTAAAATTATTAACAAGATAATCGATCTCTGTTGGAGTAGCGTTCAGGTAGCTGCTCTGCTCTATTTTGGTACCGGGCACTGAAGATGAAAACAGTGGGTGGATTATATAATAATGCAGCTGCATTATATAGCCACATTAACAGAGGTTATTTTTCAACACTGTTACAACTCTAGTGACATATTGCTACACTTGCATTTCCTGGACCAAGGAGCAATCAGAATTTTTGTGGTGCACAGGAATATTTAATCTGGCTCTGTTCTGATGAAAATGGAACTGCTGGACAGGCTAATTTTGTGATTGTGGCCCTGCAAGTAGCATTATTTACTTTTAACCCTTAATGCTCCAGTTGGAGTGTGCCCGCTCCGTTTTGCGTAACTATTTTTAAACCCCTGTAGAACTGCAGCCACGTAAGCTAGCGCAATAATTTTTTTTTTGAATATGAAACCGGAGGAGTTGTATCTTATGCCATCAGCTTGTCCTAGGTCACGGTTTCCTTCCACATATAGCTTTGCAAAAACTGCATAAAAAGCATTTGCAGCAACAAAAACATAATATTCCAGAAACACGCTTTGCCGATCCGATCAGCTGTTCATAACACTTCCTACGTTAGAATAGACGTCAGCGCGAACTATTGCATGCCCGCCATTACTTGCCCGAAATCGGAAGTGATGTCATTTTCGCGGAAATTACCTTCAGGGCCTTATAAGCCTATACTGGTGTTTTTTAAAATCATGTTTGACTTTATGACTTTCTGTGTCGTTTCTGGGATGCTGAGGACTCATATTGCACTGCTGGATATAGTTTATTTTGATGCATATGCTTCTTTTTTGCAAATTTGTATTATAATATTCATTTTAGTTTTTCCTGCAGTATATAAAAATTGGTGCATTTCAAAAATAAAACTATGAAGACACTCAAAATAAATTTCCTGTGGAGGGAAACTATTTTGTGCAACTCTTTTGTATTTACAGTTTTGAGGAATAAGACTCTTAAATTTCTCTAACTAGAAATATATGTTTAATTTTGTAGTTTATTGCACTTTTTTGCAGTTTATGTAATTACTATGCACTTAATGCATACATATTATTAAACATTGGGCTATAATGGTTGTATTGATGTATTGCAACTTGAAATGCTCCTAAAAATGGCACTACAGCATGTAAAAATATAATATAAGCTCTGGCAAACTTGGTCCTCTTTTAGATCTTAAAGGGTTAATGTATTAAGTGCTTGTACAAGATGTAAAAGACTTGTAGTTTGAGGAATTCGCAAAATATTTCAAGAACATATTTGCTTGCACAGAGCAGTGACCCTTCTTGGTTTCCTTTTAGATTAAAAACAGGATTGGAGTGATGAGGTACGTGGTGCTTCATGGCTGTCTATGGGATGACCTGTACATTGGCTTTCAGAACCGCATCAGCCGAGACCCAGACATCTACCACCACAAGTACAGACATTTTATCTGATATGTTTGAGAATTCTTTCATGTTCTGTAAATCTGTTTTTCTGTTCTTTGCTCGTTGACAACTCCTCATCCAATTGACTTTAAACGCAGTGGGTGTATTGCTGGCTTTTCAGGGAGTTTTTAGGAATGCCATCCAGAGTAAGAATCTGGTTAGATACCATATTTCTAAGATTTTCAGGGCCGAGTAATTAAGAAGCAGAAAGTTAGCGGCTATCCAGGTCTTTATGTCTTTAAGACATTCCTGCAGTTTAACTAATTGGTGTGTGTTATCTGGCTTCATAGACAGTTAGAGCTGGGTGTCATCTGCATAGCAGAGAAAATGTATGCTATGTCTTCTGATGATACTGCCTAGGGGAAGCATGGATAATGTAAACAGAATTGGTCCTAGCACTGAACCCTGTGGAACACCATAATTGACCTTAGTGTGTGAAGAGGACTCTCCATTTACATGCACAAATTGCAGTGTGTTAGATAGATATGATACAAACCACTGCAGCGCCAAAAAAATTTGGCCAGATTTCTAGAAACCAGAGCTGCTCCATCCAAAATGGGATGGATGCCGTCTCTCCTAACTAGACCAGGTTTCCTCCAGAAAGTTTCCTAATCATCCAATTATCTATAAAGTCCACCTCGTGAGCTTTATAGACAATTATAAATTTTTATTTGTTTATCTTTATACATCTTTATATGTTTGGAGAGTTGTCTGAAGGACAACGATTTAGTAATCCTGGGCTCTGGCTGACAGGCTCAGTACATACTAACACGTGGAATATTACACAGTCTGAGGTGTGATGTTAAAGGGCTGGTCATGGTGGTTGTCCTGATGCAAGACATGCTCAGATAGATCTGAATTCAAATTTTCTTTTGTTTTTTTCAGTACCTGTCAAAAGCAGCTATTATTGTAAGAAAAAAATACATCTTATCCATAACTAGGAACACCTGTGACTACTCCACTCATGATTCACCTAAAACAAACCTCTTATATCAGTCAAAGTAGTTCAAATTCTCATAAAGTTTACTTTTTGAAACTTTTCTTATAATACATACAGGTGTATACTGAATTAGGTTTACATATGGTAAATACATTGCTTTGGCACAACCATCACTACCAGTCAACTAATGTCACACTTGCAGACTGAGTAATGCTGGTGGTACATACTGAGCCTGAAAGAAAGCTGACCCCTGAGCTCACTTACACACAACTCTGCATACACTTTTGAGGATCTGACTCAGCAAAAATACAGCCAAGGTCACATGTAAAAGGACAGCCAATTCAAATGCTGGGTAAGTTAATAACTTACCTGCATTAGCAGTGCTTTGAGCAAAGCTTTAGGACTGTCATTGATACATATTTCTAAACACTTACAGATTCAGTTGTACATTAACACATCTGATTACACAGACAGATCCACACAGATAAAAATACATACAGACCTGAAGTGAGATACAAACATACTTTTTGCTAAAATAACAGTATGGGCTCAAATTGTGGTCATAAATATTTTGTACTTGTAAATCAGAATGCGTAGCTGTCAGTTGTTACCTTGTAAACCAAAATATCTGAAAAGTTTATGTTTGTGCATCTATAGATGAGAATTTGTGTGTGTGTGTGTGTGTGTGTGTGTGTGTGTGTGTGTGTGTAAAAAAATATTTCCACAAGTTACAATTTTTTTGGCTTAAGGTCAGGTTACAGATACAAAGCAAAGAACTACATGTAAAACTCTGCACTCAAGTTCCTGAGCTGTGTGTGAGTTTCAACTTACACGTACGAATTTCCCATTTTTTTCGTTTCACTTGATTGGTCAATGTCATGTCAATCACAAATTTAACAATCCAATCAGAGAACAGATGGGTTTGGCTGACAGAGGGGTGCTTTACTTATGTGCTTTACTTAGAACTTAACACAAAAAACTTTTAACCTTCTGTTTAGATATTTTGGTCTACAAGGTTACAAAACTCAGTTCATAACTATGCATTCGGATTTAAAATTACAAAATATTTATGACCACAATTTGAGCCCATATAACAGCCCTATATAGGCAACACTTACTCCTGTTCTCTGACAGAAACGGCTGTTCCATACTGTGTGCGGGGGGAAGCAAACAGACAGATACACTCCTATTTTTATGGCATGTTTATTTGTCTGTTTTGGAAAGGATATGAATTGCCATTTCCAAGCCTAATAGCTCTCAGTTTAACTATCACTACAATGAAATGGTTACTTTTGTGAGTAACTTTATGATTGCCTGCATGTGATGTGTTTAGAGGACATATGGAAATGATAACAAAAGAAAAATAACTTAGGCTACATGTAAATGGTCACTGTACTAGTCTACCATTTAATCACCTTCTTTTGGCCTCTAGGTTCTGGAAACACTTCCAAGCAGAGCTGCCGCTTTGCAAGCCCGACTGGGAACAATTCCAAAAGCAGGTCGTCCCCATCAGTGAGACCGGGATGGGAAATAACTGTGCCTTGTCATGAATTTGCATTCTGGATTTGTGAAGATCAAGTTACTGTTTTCTGATTTATATTGTGAAAACTCAAGACCCTATTGCTGAAAGCACCACACCACCTTCTGCTGTGCCTCTTTTGTGGTGGAAGATTTCTTTTCTGATTCACTGATCACTTTAGTAATAGTAATATCACTTTCTTACTAGCTGTATGCATGAATGTTATTACAAGTGGGCCTCGTGTTTATGGCACCTTCACAGAGGGCCCATTGTAAAGTCAGAGACATTCAGGTGTGTGTGTGTGTGTGTGTGGGGGGGGGGGGGGTACATAGATAGATAGATAGATAGATAGTGTGAAGCCCTTCTGCTCGTCTGTGGAAGTAGGGGAAGCAACAGTTAAGTGAAGAATATAGTCAGAGATCTCTCTCTTTGAAGGTATAGGCCTGTGAGGTGGGTGTGGGATGGAATAAAATGTCTTTTGTTATTATCTAACTTGCAGTATATTGTATTAACAAATATAGCTTATAGCTTTCAGACTATATTGAGATGAGCAAACGTACTGGCAATCTTTGAACTCTTGTTATGGGAATGACTATAATAATTTTATACATATTGTATTCTGTGCCTATAAAAGAGGTGTGGCTCAGTCCATTAATTGAAGGTCAAGAGCTTTGGCCAGCGATATGTCTGGCCAGTTGCAATACACGCTTACAAAACACTTATATCAGGTTATTCTTAATTATCTCTTATTTGTTTATATTCTTTTATTAAGTTTTAAGTAGTATCATTTGATTAAAACATTCACTCAACTACATATAGTTTCAGTTGTGTACGTGCTGGCCTTCTGTCTGGTGGAAAGGTTACAAGGTTTAGCTGGTGAGGTGAGAGGTGAAACAAAGTGCATTTCAGGTTGACACACACACACACACACACACACACACACACACACACACACACACACACACACA